ATGGAGGGTTTTGTTTTTCTTTTCCTATTGGTAAGAAGATAAGTGTCATAAATATATATTTAACACAGAAATATCAAATCATCTTTTTATATTTTTATACTGTTTTATCCTCATTTCCAATAAAGTTGATACTTTATTCAAAATGAGGAAGTTTTGAATTGATTAATTGTGTGAAGAATAAAAAGTAAAAGTTGATTTCTTGCTAAACTCTGCAGACATTCCACTCCCACTCAGAAAATATTGATACCTGAAGATCTTTTGTTGAGTGTAGAAATACAATTCCTCAGGTTAGTGGGCACAATAAATAAGAAATGATTATTTTCTGTTTATCGCCTGCAAATTAAAAAAAAATAATACCACTTGTATCTTAACACTATCCTCTTTAAAAGGAAAGCATCATAGTATGTAACTCCTCAGTAACACAGATGGATAATTTTGAAAGGCATTACCAACTATAGTACCTTTCAGAACAATTCGCATTCAGTATGGTCAATATGTTTAACCAGGAAACAAAGTTTAATTTAGGAAATAAGTTTTATTGTTTATAATTGTAGGATATATATATATATATATATATATATATATATATATATATATATATATATATATATATATATATATATTTGCATGTTTCATTAAAACAACAGACAAGGTACTACGGTTAGCTTTTTTATTTAATTTTTCTTGTGTTCGAACAAGAGCTTTCTGGACAAAGGGTGTGTAATAAAATATATATATATATATATATATATATATATATATATATATATATATATATATGATGTTTCACTTTTAATATAAAAAAAGATATTTTGGGTGAGATTAATTAAATAACTAAAATGAACAGTAAAGAGATTGAAAAATCTAGATTTTGTTTCAGACAAAAAATTTTTACAATTAAAAACTATTCCTTTTAATGAAGGATGACTTCAGAAGTGAAAATATTTGACATAAGAAATATTCAAGTATTTTTCTGAACAAAGCTTACTGTGAAATCCTTGAAATGGTCGTCGGCTACAACAATCTGCTTCCACATCCATTCATTTTCTTATGCATTCACTATAATTATCAATACATTTAAATTTGGATTTTTGGAACATTTCTATACAGACTTCAAAGCGATTCTAAACTCATGTTCTAAACAAGTGATAAGAATTATAAATCTACCATGTAAAAAACAAATTTTACAAAATTAAACCCATTTTAGAAGAATGGCATTATGGTCTCAGACTTTCTCAGTAAGAAGTCATCCTATGAAGAATTATATCTTTCACTCATTTCTCTTAAAAGATGAATATATTCTAACCGATTACAGTGACCTTGCCCTTATACATCAATGATTTTATGACATGATTAGTCTAAAGGCCATTTTCAAGAAGATAAAAGTAGTGACTATCCTAGACTACTTGTAGGATGTTGGTCTACACCACAAATCATAGCATGAAATGTCACTCTAACATTCTAAAGACATAAGGGGGAAGTGATGGAACCAACAACTCCAAGGATTGCTTATAAGCCATATATTAAAAAAAAATCTTTTTGGCATTAAATATACTGACTGAGACAACATGCTGTTGAAACAGAACAATAAATTAAAAAAAACAAAAAAAAAACATTTCTGGAATTTTATTCAAATTGTTCAACTGTGAGTGTGTAGTGTTAGTGTGAGTGTGTGCATATATATATATATATATATATATATATATATATATATATATATATATATGTAATATGCATTAAGGGAAAAATACAAGCAATAAATTGCTGATAACCTCTGAAGAATGGGCAGACAGGTCTGCCTATAAAACTCTGTAGTTGGTATGCTGAAAGTAACATCAATCAGCTAATTGACAATCTTTTACTCACATTAAATCAATCTATCTATCTATCTATTTATCTATCTATTTATCTATCTATCTGTCTGTCTGTCTATCTATCTATAGTGAAATATGATTTTAGCAGTAAGGGCCCCAAGCTCATAAGGTTTTCTGTTGGACTTTTCACTTATCCTTAATGGAAGAGATTTTATTAAGAATACATGTTGGGCAAAACAAAATGTTAATCTCATTTTAAAAGATGAACTGGGATAGATTGATAAAAGAAGAAAGATGGATAGAAAATGAAGGAGGAAAAGAAAGTTAAAAAGACCAACAGATGAATAAGAAAAAGTAAAGATAAATGTATTGATTAAAATTGAATAAATTTTAATATAGATAAGAACAGGGATTTTTATGGAAATAAAACTAAAAATATATATTCTATGAATTTACAGAGACTCATTAACTTGGTACTTCACAATTCTAGGATAAATTATTGGTATATGAGCAACCATTTTGTATCATAAAGGAAAGTTTTCTCTTTGCTTCTAAATTATGCACTTGAAATAGATACTAGAAAGTAACATAAAAAAATTGTGAACACAAACAAATCTTTGAAAGCATTTATTAGGAATTAATAAACAGAAACATTAGTAAGTAGATGAGAAACAAACAGGAAAAAATGTTTCTGACAGATTTAGTTCGTCTTTAGGTTAATTGATGAAAAGAAATGGGGAATGAACAGTTAAAAAAGACATTGATAATTATTCATTAAGTCTAGATTATATGTATATAAATTGTTTCTCACTTTACTGAAATTAATAATACTTTGTTTTCTTACTAATTTTTAAAATAAAAATACTATAATACCTGTGGATATTTGCATCCTGAAATATAAAATACTGAAATGATTAAATAACTGTATAAAGTAGATATTAAGAAGCATAGATTGTTATTTGATGATTGATAGATGTATAAGTACAGACATAGAGAGAACTGTATATTCTGAAATATATATTTATAGCTTGTTTGGAGACTTTGGAGATATGATTGTATTGACAGCAATGAGGTCAGGAATATTCTGCTGAATTTATTTTCCTTGTGAGATTTTGGCTTATTCAAAAGAGCAGCATTTTAAATCTTGTTTTCATATCTAAACTGAAATACTGCCTAAAGACATCAATGGAAAACATGCTATCAAGTATGTCAAGATATACAGATTTGAATAGACTGTGATAAATAGATAAGTAGGTAAGTTGGTAGGTGAACACACGTATTGACAGATATAAATATTTATAAATAAATATACAAAGAGAGATAGATACATTAGATACACACAAAAAAAGTGAATTCATTTGGGCAAAAATATTTACATTCATTTAAGAAAAAATTCAAAAAAGAATTAAATTCACAAAACCTTTTGCCTTTTTAATTCTCAATTCTAGTGCATCTACCAAATTTATAAAAAAACAGGATTTTGTTGATTTCATCAAACATTATGCAATTGGGTTCTGAAGAAGTGATGGCAAAGTGATTTCCTTAAAGAAAATAAAAAATGCTTTTCGTCAGGAATCCATTATTATATAAAAGATGTTTGGCAGAGTAGAACTTTATATTTCTTGAAAGTAATTCATTAAGTAAACTGAATGATCCCATCTACATGAAAATAGAAAATAGAAAGCTATTAATTGTTGACTCATTATGGGATGTATGAATGGATGCAGAAAAAGGAACCAGATTTTATTTGCTAATTCATATTAATGGTTCAGATATTGCCAAAAACCTTTTTTGCTTGCACTGAAAAATGACTTTCAACATCAGAAAAGTATCTGTTCATTGTATTTTTTGTTACTCAAAATTTGGTCTCCAATAGCGAACTTTTCAGAGTAATTTGAAAACAAGATACAAATGAGAAATATATATAAGCCTGTGCACCTCCATATTTTTTGTATTCATTTTTTCTACTTCTATATCTTTTAATTTATTTTCATTTGTACATATTTAATTTTACTTTACAACAGGAATTATTACTAAACAAATATATAAAGAAGGGATTTATTTTTAATTAGACATATTGCTTTAAAGATTATTAGAGTGGATACTTCATCTTTGAAATAGTTTATTAAACAGTGTGTATTTCATCTATCTGCCTGTGTATTTGAGAAAACTTACTAAAGAAAATGTGTTCCCAGGCAGGGATTGAACCTGCAGGCACCTTTGTAGGGTAGATCATCATTTGATCTGACGTGCTTTATCACTCAGACATAAAAAAAACAAACATCACAGTAAGCAGAGCTCTAGTTTCACTTGTGTAAGGAAAGCATATATTAATGTGTGTTGTAGTGTAATGGATAAAGGCTTGGTATGAGAACTTGGAGAGCCAAGTTCAAATTCCAGTCGAGTTCACTCGATACACTTACACACAAATACCCTTGGGAAAGGTATGAATCCATCTCTTCTCTCCCAGCTATGGGTTAAATAGCAGGACAGACTGGGTTCTATAGTCTTAGTTGGCAACCAGTCTACCACAGAAAAAATAGCAATGTACAGCGGAAAAATATCTGCTTTGTCAGTCATATATTAAAAGATACATGATTGCCCAAGTGTGTATCAAGTATGACACTAAACTGACTGAATGATATCTTCATCCAAATTATTCTTCTCGAAAACCCATAACTGCTGTTTAGAAAAATAGCTTGCGTGAAGATGTGTTTTCCTTAAAAAGAAAAATAGGGCCTTGTTTACTGTGACATTCATTGTGGTTGAGTGATAAGGCACATCTGATCAAACAGTGGTTTCCCCTAGCAAAAAGGATGCCAGTTCAATCTCTGCCAGAGAACATATTACCTTTACTAAGATTACTTGAGTGTGTTGGCTGATACACAGTTTAATAGTTAAAAATGGGGTGTCTATTTCAAATGCAAAATGTCCATGATAATAACATTGAAAGTAATGTGTAGTGAATAGATAAATGCAAATAGATATAAATATAGAATTAGATAAACATATAAATATATAATCATCATATAAACATATAAATACATCAAAATGCTTCATATCTATGTCTATCTTTCTATCTATCTATCTATCTATCTATCTATCTATCTATCTCTATATATATATATATATACACACACACACACACATAATTATCAGTATACATTCTGTTTTTCTTTCCATCTCTTCTAGTCACATTCATTTTGTTATTTTTTCCATGTCTCCTCCTACCAACATTCACTGTTTTTCTTTCCATACTTCCTCCTATCTGCATTCATTATCTTTTTCGTTCCCTCTCTCCACATATCTGCATTTATTCTGTTTTCTTTCCATTTTCTATCTGCATTTATTCTGTTTTCTTTTTCTTTTCATCTCTTTCTTTTCCACATATCTGCATTTATTCTGTTTTTCTTTTCATCTTTCTCTCCATCTCTCCTTCTATCTGCATTTATTCTTTTTTTCTTTTCATCTTTCTTTCCATCTCTCCTTCTATCTGCATTTATTCTCTCCTTTTTTCTTTTCATCTTTCTTTCAATCTCTCCACATATCTGCATTTATTCTGTTTTTCTTTTCATCTTTCTTTCCATCTCTCCACATATCTGCATTTATTCTGTTTTTCTTTTCATCTTTCTTTCCATCTCTCCTTCTATCTGCATTTATTCTGTTTTTCTTTTCATCTTTCTTTCCATCTCTCCACATATCTGCATTTATTCTGTTTTTCTTTTCATCTTTCTTTCCATCTCTCCACATATCTGCATTTATTCTGTTTTTCTTTTCATCTTTCTTTCCATCTCTCCACATATCTGCATTTATTCTGTTTTTCTTTTCATCTTTCTTTCCATCTCTCCACATATCTGCATTTATTCTGTTTTTCTTTTCATCTTTCTTTCCATCTCTCCTTCTATCTGCATTTATTCTGTTTTTCTTTTCATCTTTCTTCCCTTCTCTCCACATATCTGCATTTATTCTTTTTTTCTTTTCATCTTTCTTTCCATCTCTCCACTTATCTGCATTTATTCTGTTTTTCTTTTCATCTTTCTTCCATCTCTCCACATATCTTTGCATTTATTCTTTTTTCTTTTCATCTTTTCTTTCCATCTCTCCTTCTTCTGCATTTATTCTCTTTTTCTTTTCATCTTTCTTTCCTTTTTCTCTCCACATATCTGCATTTATTCTGTTTTTCTTTTCATTTTCATCTTTCATTTTCCATCTCTTCTTTCTATCTTTCTTTTGCCTTTCTTCATTTTTTTCTGTTTTTCTTTTCATCTTTTTTTTTCTCTCCACATTTCTGCATTTATTCCTATATTTTTTTTTTTCATCTTTTTTTCCATCTCTCCACATATCTGCATTTATTCCTTTTTTTCTTTTCATCTTTCTTTTTCCATCTCTTTTTATCTCCTTTATATGTTTTTTTTTCATCTTTCTCCATTTTCTTTTCATTTATTCTTCTTTCCATCTTTCTCCTTCTATCTGCATTTATTCTGTTTTTCTTTTTCATCTTTTTTTCCATCTCTTTTCATATCTGCATTTTATTCTGTTTTTCTTTTCATCTTTTTTTCCATCTCTCCACATATCTGCATTTATTCTGTTTTTCTTTTCATCTTTCTTTCCATCTCTCTTTCATTTATTCTGTTTTCTTTTTCTTTCTGTTTTTCCTTTTCATTTTTCTTTCTTTCTTTTCATCTTTTCCACATATCTGCATTTATTCTTTTTTTCTTTTTTCTTCCTTTTTCTGCCTTTTCATTTTATTCTGTTTTTCTTTTCATCTTTTTTTTTTTTTCATATCTTCATTTTATTCTGTTTTTCTTTTCATCTTTTTTTTCATCTCCTTTTATCTGCATTTATTTTCTTTTCTTTTTTCTTTTCATCTTTCTGTTTTTCCATCTTTCTCCACATATCTGCATTTCTTTCTGTTTTTCTTTTCATCTTTCTTTCCATCTCTCCACATATCTGCATTTATTCTTTTTTTCTTTTCATCTTTTTCCATCTCTCCACATATCTGCATTTATTCTTTTTTTTCTTTTCATTTTCTTTCCATCTTTCCTTTTATTTGCATTCTGTTTTTTCTTTTCATTTTCTTTCCATCTTTCCTTCTATCTGCATTTATTCTGTTTTTTTTTTCTTCTTTCTTTCATCTCTCCATCATCATTTTTTTCTTTTTTTCTTTTCATCTTTCTTTCCATCTTCCTTCTATCTTCATTTATTTGTTTTTCTTTTCATCTTCTTTTCCATCTCTCCACATATCTGCATTTATTCTTTTCTTTTCTTTTCATCTCCCTTCTTTTTCCATCTTTTTCCACATTTCTTTCATTTATTCTTTTTCTTTTTTCATCATCTTTCTTTCCATTTCTCTTCTTTATCTTTTTTATTCTGCATTTATTCTTTTTTCTTTTCCTTCTTTTCTTTCTGCCTTTTTCTTTCTTCCATCTCTCCACATTTCTGCATTTATTCTCTTTTTTCTTTTCATCTTTCTTTTCCATCTCTTCCTTTTCTTTCTGCATTTATTCTCTTTTTTCTTTTCATCTTTTTCTTCTCTTTATATCTGCATTTATTCTGTTTTCTTTTCATCTTTTTTCTTTCCTCTCTCCACATATCTTCATTTATTCTGTCTTTTTCTTTTTCATCTTTCTTTCCTCTCTCCACTTATCTGCATTTATTCTGTTTTTCTTTTCATCTTTCTTTCCATCTCTCCTTCTATCTGCATTTATTCTTTTTTTCTTTTCATCTTTCTTTTTTCTCTCCTTTCTATCTGCATTTTTCTGTTCATTTATTCTTTTTTTTTTTTTTCTTCATTTTTCCTTCTCTCATCTTTCTCATCTTTATCTGCATTTATTCTGTTTTTTTTCTTTTCATCTTTCTTTCTTCTCTCTCCACATATCTGCATTTATTCTTTTTTTCTTTTCATCTTTCTTTCCATTTCTCCCTCTTTTTTTTTCTGCATTCTTTTTCTCTTCCTTTCTGTTTTTTTCATCTTTTTTTTTTCCATCTCTCTTTCTTTCTATCTGCCTTTTATTCTTTTTTTTCTTTTCATCTTTCTTTCCATCTTTTTCCTTCTATCTGCATTTTATTCTGTTTTTTCTTTTTCATCTTTTTTTCCATCTCTCTTTTATCTGCATTTATTCTTTTTTTCTTTTCATCTTTCATTTTCCATCTATTTCCTTCTATCTGCCTTTCTTTTTTTCTTTTTTTTTTTTTTTTCATTCTTTCTTTCCTTTTCTTTCTTTCCACATATCTTTCATTTATTCTGTTTTTTCTTTTCATCTTTCTTTCCTCTCTTTCTGCATTTATTCTGTTTTTTTTTTTTCTTTCTTTTCTTTTTCCATTTATCTGTTTTTCTTTTCATTTTTTCTTTTCATCTTTCTTTCTCTCTTTTTTCTGTTTTCTGCATTTTTTCTTCTTTTTTCGTTTTTTCTTCTTTCTTTTTTTTCCATCTCTTTTTTTTTCATTTCATCTTTCATTTATTTTCATCTTTTTTTTTTTTCATCTTTTTTTTTTTCCATCTTTCTTCTTTTTTTTTTCTCTTTTTCTTTATTCTCCACATATCTTTTTTTTTTTTTTTTCTTTTTTCCATTTTTATTCTCTTTTTCTTTTCTTTTTCTTTCTTTCCTTTCTGCATTTATTCTGTTTTCTTTTCATCTTTCTTTCCATCTTTCACATTTCTGCATTTATTCTTTTTTCTTTTCATCTTTCTTTCCATCTCTCCACATATCTGCATTTATTTGTTTTCTTTTCTTTTCATCTTTCTTTTCTCTCTCTTCTTTATTCTGCTTTTTATTCTTTTTTTTTTTTTTCTTTTTTCTTTTCATCTTTCCTTCATCATTCTGCATTTTTCTTTTTTCTTTTTTCTTTTTTCATCTTTCATTTTTTCCATTTTTTCTCTCCTTCTTTATTTTTCTTTCTTTTTTCTTTTCATTCTTTTTTTTCATTTTTCTTTTCTTTTCTTTTTTTCTTCTTCTTTCTTTTTTTTTCTTTTTTTTTTTTCTTTCTGCATTTTTCCTTTTTCTTTCCTTTCTATCTGCATTTATTCTTTTTTCTTTTCATCTTTTTTTCATCTCTTTTCTATTTTTTCTTTCTTTTTTTCTTTTCATCTTTCTTTCCATCTCTCCTTCTATCTTTTTTTTTTATTCTCTCTTTTCATTTTTTGTTTTTCTTTTTCTTTCTTTCTTTCTCTTTTCTTCTTTTTTCTTTTCATCTTTTTTTCCTCTTTTTTCATATCTTTCTTTATTTTTTTTTTTTCTTTCTTTCCATCTTTGCATATTCTTTTATTCTTTTCTTTTCTTTTTTTCTTTCTTTCTTTCTTTCTCTCCATTTTTATTTTTCTTCTTTCTTCATTTATTCTTCTGTTTTTTTTTTTTCATCTTTCATCTTTTTCCATTTTTTTCTTTTTTTCTTTTCTGCATTTATTCTGTTTTTTTTCTTTTCTTTCTTTCTTTCATTTTTCTTTCTCCTTTTTCATTCTTGCATTTATTCTTTTTTTCTTTTCATCTTTCTTTCCATCTTTCTGCATTATTTTTCTTTTCATCTTTTTTCTTTCATGTTTTCTTTTTTTTCTTTCTTTTTTTTTTTCCATTTTTTTATTTCATTTCCTCATTTCTGCTTTTTTATTCTGTTTTTCTTTTCATCTTTCTTTCTCATTTCTCCACATCTCTTTATTTATTTTTCTTTTTTTCTTTTTTCATCTCTCCTCCTTTTTTATTTGTTTTTTTCTATCTTCTTTCTTTCCATCTTTCATATTTCATTTTTCTTTTTTTTTTTCATCTTTCTTTCCATCTCCTTATCTGCATTTATTCTGTTTTTCTTTTTCTTTCTTTTCATCTCTCTTTTTTTTTCATTTATTCTTTTTTCTTTTTTCTTTTATTTTCATCTTTCTTTCTCTTTTTCATTTTTCTTTTTTTTTTCATTTTTCTTTCATTTTCTTATCTGCATTTATTCTTTTTTTCTTTTCATCTTTTTTTCTCTCCACTTTTTCTGCATTTATTCTCTTTTTTTTTTCATCTTTTTCTTTTCATTTTCTTTCTCTCCTTCTATCTGCATTTTTTATTTTTCATCTTTTTTTCATCTTTTTTCATTTTTTCTGTTTTTTCTTTTCATCTTTCTCTTCCTTTATCTGCATTTATTCTTTTTTTTTTTCTTTTTTTTCTTTCCATCTTTTTTCCTTTTTTTTTCTTTCTTTCCATTTATTCTGTTTTTTTTTTTCTTTTTTTTTTCATCTTTCCATCATTTTTATCTGCATTTATTCTTCCTTTTCTTTTTTTCTTTTCATCTTTCTTTCCATCTCTCTTTCATATTTGCATTTTTTCTGTTTTCTTTTTTTTTTTCATCTTTCTTTTCATCTTTCTTTTCATTTTTTCTCTTCTTTCTTTTTTTCATTTTTTTTTTTCATTTTTCTGCATTTTTTCTTTTCATTTTCATTTTCTTTCCATCTCTCCACATATCTGCATTTTTCTTTTTTTTTTCTTTTCTTCCATCTTTTTTTTTCCATCTCTTTTCTTCTTTCATTTCCTTCTCTTTTTCTTGCTTTTATTCTTTTTTCTTTTCATTTTTTTTTTTCCATCTTCTCATTTATTCTTTTTTTTCTTTTCATCTTTCTTTCCTTTTCTTTATCTCATTTCTTTTCTTTTTTCTTTTCTTTCTTTCTCTTCTTTATCTTTTTCATTTTTCTTTCTGCATTTCTCTTCTTCTTTTTTTTTTCTTTCTTTTTTTTTTTTCTTTTTTCTCTCCATATCTGCATTTTTTATTTTCTTTTTCTTTTCATCTTTCTTTTTTTTTTTTCTTTCCACATTTCTTTCTTTCATTTTCCTTTCTGTTTTTTTTTTTCTTTCTTTCCATCTCTCCTTTATCTGCATTTATTCTCTTTTTTTTTTTTTCATTTTTCTTTTTCCATCTGTTTTTCTCCTTCTTATCTGCATTTATTCTTTTTTTTTTTCATCTTTTTTCCATCTCTCCACATATCTGCATTTTTCTCTTTTTTCTTTTCATCTTTCTTTCCTTCTTTTCCACATATCTGCATTTTATTCTGTTTTTCTTTTCATTTTTTTTTCATCTCTCCACATATCTGCATTTATTCTGTTTTTCTTTTCATCTTTCTTTCCATCTTTTCATATTTTTTATTCTTTTTTTCTTTTCATCTTTCTTTTCCTTCTTCCACATATCTGCATTTATTCTGTTTTTCTTTTCATCTTTTTTTTCCATCTCTCCTTCTATCTGCATTTATTCTTTTTTCTTTTCATCTTTCTTTCCATCTCTCCTTCTATCTGCATTTATTCTTTTTTCTTTTCATCTTTCTTTCCATCTCTTTCCATATCTGCATTTATTCTTTTTTCTTTTCATCTTTCTTTCCATCTTCCACATTCTGCATTTATTCTGTTTTTCTTTTCATCTTTCTTTCTTTTTCCACATATCTTTTTATTCTGTTTTCTTTTCATCTTTCTTTCCATCTCTCCTTCTATCTTCATCTTTATTCTTTTTTCTTTTCATCTTTCTTTTCCATCTTCTTTTCTATCTGCATTTATTCTGTTTTTCTTTTCATCTTTTTTCCATCTCTTCTTCTATCTGCATTTATTCTGTTTTTCTTTTCATCTTTTTTCCATCTCTTTTATCTGCATTTTTTTTTCTTTTTTCTTTTTCATCTTTTTTTCTTTTCTTTGCATTTTTCACCTTTTTTCTTTTCTTTCTTTCTTTCCATCTCTTTCATATCTCATTTATTCTTTTTTCTTTTCATCTTTCTTTCCATCTCTCCACATATCTGCATTTATTCTGTTTTTCTTTTCATCTTTCTTTTTCCATCTCTTTTCATATCTGCATTTATTCTTTTTTTCTTTTCTTTTTATTCGTTTTCTTTTTTTTTTCTTCTCTTCCATATCTTCATTTATTTCTTTTTCTTTTCATCTTTCTTTCCATCTTCCACATATCTGCATTTTTCTTTTTTCTTTTCATCTTTCTTTCCATCTCTCCACATATCTGCATTTTTTCTGTTTTTCTTTTCATCTTTCTTTCCATCTCTCCACATATCTGCTCTTTATTCTGTTTTTCTTTTCATCTTTCTTTCCATCTCTCCACATATCTGCTTTATTCTCCTTTTTCTTTTTTTCATCTTTCTTTCCATCTTTCTTCTGTTTTTTCTTTCATCATTTATTCTTTTTTTATTTTTCATTTTGTTTTCTTTCCATCTCTTTTCTATCTTTTTTATTCTTTTTTCTTTTTCTTTCTTTCTTTCCATCTCTCTTTTTCATATCTGCTTTTTATTCTGTTTTCTTTCATTTTCATCTTTCTTCTTTCCATCTTTTCCACATATCTGCATTTATTCTTTTTTTCTTTTCATCTTTCTTTTTTTCTTTCTGCTTTTCATTCTTTCTTTTCATCTTTCTTTTCCATCTTCCACATATCTGCATTTATTCTGTTTTTCTTTTCATCTTTTCTTTCTTTTCCCTCTCCTTTTTTCTGCTTTTTTATTCTTCATTTATTTTTTCTTTTCATCTTTCTTTCCATCTCTCCACATATCTGCATTTATTCTTTTTTTTTTCATCTTTTTTTCCATCTCCTTTCTCCTTATCTGCATTTTTCTTTTTTTTCTTTTCATCTTTCTTTCCATCTCTCCATTTATCTGTTTTTTTTTCTGTTTTTCTTCTTTTTTCTTTTTTCTTTCTTTCCATCTCTCCACATATCTGCATTTATTCTGTTCTGTTTTCTTTTCATCTTTTTTTTTCATCTCTTCCACATATCTGCATTTATTCTGTTTTTCTTTTCATCTTTCTTTTTCCATCTCTTTCCACATATCTGCTTTTTTATTCTGTTTTTTTTTTCATCTTTCTTTCCATCTCTCCTTCTATCTGCATTTCTTCTTTCTTCTTTTCATTTTTTTTTTTCTTTCTTCCATATCCTTTATCTGTTTTTTTTTTCTCTTTTTTTCTTTTCATTTATTTTTTTTCCATCTTCTTTTTCCATATCTGCATTTATTCTCTTTTTTCTTTTCATCTTTCTTTCCATCTCTCCTTTATCTGCATTTCTTCTTTTCTTTTCATCTTTTTTCCATCTCTCCTTTATCTGCATTTATTCTGTTTCTTTCATCTTTCTTTTCCATCTTTTCATCTTTCTTTCCTTCTCTTCTTTCTTTTCTGCATTTATTCTTTTTTTCTTTTCATCTTTCTTTCCATCTCTCCTTCTATCTGCATTTCTTCTGTTTTTCTTTTTCATCTTTTCTTTCCTTCTATCTGCATTCTCTGTTTTTTTCTATTTCTTTTATTCTTTTTTCATTTTTCATTTTTCTTTCCATCTCTCCACATATCTGCTTTTTATTCTTTTTTCTTTTCATCTTTCTTTCCATCTCTCTCCACATATCTGCATTTATTCTGTTTTCTTTTTTCTTTCTTTCCTTCTTTTCATTTCTTTTCCATCTCTTTCCATATCTCATTTATTCTGTTTTTTCTTTTCTTTTCATCTTTCTTTCCATCTCTCCACATATCTGCATTTATTCTCTTTTTTCTTTTCATCTTTCTGCATTTATTCTTGTTTTTCCATCTCTCCTTTCCTTCTATCTGCATTTATTCTCTTTTTTTTCTTTTCATCTTTCTTTTTCAATCTCTCCACCTCTCCATATCTGCATTTATTCTGTTTTTCTTTTCATCTTTCTTTCCATCTCTCCTTCTATCTGCATTTATTCTGTTTTTCTTTTCATCTTTCTTTCCATCTCTCCTTCTATCTGCATTTATTCTGTTTTTCTTTTCATCTTTCTTTCCATCTCTCCACATATCTGCATTTATTCTGTTTTTCTTTTCATCTTTCTTTCCATCTCTCCACATATCTGCATTTATTCTGTTTTTCTTTTCATCTTTCTTTTTCTTTCCATCTCTATTTATTCTTTTTCCTTCTTTCTTTATCTCCACATATCCTCATTTTTCTGTTTTTCATTTATTCTGCATTTATTCTGTTTTCTCCTTTTCATCTTTTTTTCTTCTTTTTTCATCTTTCTTTCCATCTCTCTTTCTCTCTCCACATATCATTTGCATTTATTCTGTTTTTCTTTTCATCTTTTTTCCATCTCTCCTTCTATCTGCATTTATTCTGTTTTTCTTTTCATCTTTTCTTTCCATCTCTCCACATTCTGCATTTTATTCTTTTTTCTTTTCATCTTTCTTTCCATCTCTCCACATATCTGCATTTATTCTGTTTTTCTTTTCATCTTTCTTTCCATCTCTCCTTCTATCTGCATTTATTCTGTTTTTCTTTTCATCTTTCTTTCCATCTCTCCTTCTATCTGCATTTATTCTGTTTTTCTTTTTCATCTTTCTTTCCATTTCCATTTCCTTCTATATTCATTTTTCTTTTTTCATTTTTCATATTTTTTTCTTTCTCTTTCCACTTTTCCATCATCCTTCTTTCTCATTTTTTCTGTTTTTTCTTTTCATCTTTCTTTCCATCTCTCCACATATCTGCATTTATTCTGTTTTTCTTTTCATCTTTCTTTCCATCTCTCCTTCTATCTGCATTTATTCTGTTTTTCTTTTCATCTTTCTTTCCATCTCTCCTTCTATTTGCATTTATTCTGTTTTTCTTTTCATCTTTCTTTCCATCTCTCCACATATCTGCATTTATTCTGTTTTTCTTTTCATCTTTCTTTCCATCTCTCCTTCTATCAGCATTCATTCTGTTTTTCTTTGTTAGTATGTTTTCTTTTTTTACATTTATATTTTAACATGGTATTTTTCTTTTTCATTTTTAACATTTTTATTTATTTTTCTCCTTTATTTATTATCATTTTTACTTTCCTGTGATTTTTCTTGTATTCCTGCATTTTTGTTCTTTCTTTTATTTATTCCTTCTCATATAACTGAATATAGAAAATGAAATTTGGATTTAGGTCATTTGCAGCCATTATATCAAGGCAAAGTAATAAATATAATAAAATGTTGTTAAAGATTAAAAACGAAAGCCTTTACATATAAAAAACAAAGCCCCATATACATATACTTAAATACATGGGCATTCTTATGTGTTTATATCATACATATGCACACACACACACACACACACACACACACACACACGTGCGCGCATGCACATGTGTGTGTATGTGTGTGCATGTGTGTGTGTGTGTGTGTGTGTGTGCGTGTGTGTGTGTGTATTGAGCAATAAAATATATTATAAAATTAAAATCTTCAGACACACTGGGTTGTATATTAATATTCTTTCGTTTTTATTATTTCAGTTAGATTCCTCAACTAGTTTCGGCCAACATGGCCATCAACAGGAAAAAAAAAAATTTCTGCTTGTTAGTAGCAGTGGACTACAGAAATGAATGGGGAAAATGAATGGGGAAAATGAATGGGGAAAATGAATGGGGAAAATGAACTTTTGTCTGTAATTTTCATTTGTTTTTTTATTTTTTTAATATGAATTTTGGTCATCCTTGTGTTGGTCAAACAGTCTCTTTTAAGTTGTTATTTAAGATAAGAGCTGGATGAATTCATGCTGCTCTGAATTCCCTTGGTCATTTTGATAGTTTTATTGGTTCATGCAAAGGGGATGTGTCTCTGTTAAGTGTGTGTGTTATTTGGTTCTTAGGGAGTGAGTGAGTATGATGTGTGTAAGTGTATATTAGTATTGCTGTGTGTATAAGTGTGAGGCCTCAACACCTCTATAAGACTATAGCACCCAATCTGTTCTGCTATTTACCTATATCTGGTGCAAGAAAAGATGGATTCATACCTTTCCCAAGGCTATTCGCACATAAGTGAATGTAATGAATTCGACTAGAATTCAAACTCAGTTCTCCAATTCCCCAATCTGAGCCACTATCCATTACTTCACCGTGTCTCCACAATAATGTACTTATTTTAAATATTGCTTACATTACTTTGTGTGTGTGTGTGTGTATGTTTTGTGTACAAGCCTGTTATGAAATATACAGACAAAATGTGAATATTATGTGCAATACCATTTTCATATTCAAACATCTATTATCAAAGGAACAAATTGATGACCTTAATTACAAAGCAGTTTCCTTCCTTTATTTCCTGTAATCACTGTTTACTAAGGTTAGCTTTGTCTGGTGTAAGTGGAGCACCAAGTGTTAATGAAACTCACTACACTAGCGAACTGGTTAGGAAGATGATCTTGTCCATCAACAAAACATCAAAAGTCTTCTATTTCCAGTAAGAAATCACTAGTCTTAATTTCTTGTTACAGTATTTGTTCTCATTGCATAATTTGAAGGAATAATATGGATAGATTGTAATAAATATGAAGGAAGATGAGGTTTATAGTTTTCATTTAATCAATTTTGGTGGAATAATGAAAAGCTGGGTAAGTGAAAACCCATAATCTTAAAGATGATTACTCAGTAGTTCAAGAGAAGAAATGTTTGGTAGTCAGATCTGAGCAATGTTTTGGAAAACTAATCTAGATAGTAATAATATGGAATATAAGCATTGTACTCCACATTTGGTGAATAAAAATATGCTGATCATGCAATCTTATAACATGAATAGAAATAATCAATATATATCAATGTTTTGCTTCTAGAATTCTTAACACATTTTTGTAGTTACACATTTTGAATTTATTACTATCTCTTTGACATGGCTGAATTTTGACATTGTGGAAATTTACTTTGTCACAAGAAAATTTGTTTAAGATGAAAGCAAATTCTATTCAGGCAATACAAAGACAATTTTTATTTTTTCTTGATTTGCTTCAAATCTTTTTCATTAAGCAGAAATAAATTCATTCATTTCTGCCAACTGTATATGTATTTATTAATCTGAAATAAACAAGAACCAATCTAAGCAAAAACCATCAACCTCTAGGGATGTTAATTTGAAAGGAATTTGATTTAGGATAAAATGATATGAGAAATTTAGTTTAAATCAGAATTAAATCTAACCTCATACTATATTTGTATTGCCATGATTCATTAATGTTTACTTCTCCTTCTGTTTTTTTTTTTATTTTTAAGATTTATCTTCAATGTGTTATTTTACTTGAGATGAAATATGAGTTGAAAACACTTCATATTCAAACCAGAATTTGACTTTTATGAATATGATATTTCATTACAAGTTATATTGGCAGAAATAAAACAAAAATTCATGATTCGCCAGCAAATAATTTGTATTCAGATAAGTTTGAGTGTATATCAAAATATCTGCAGATAATTTGATTAGAAAATATTGAAAATGAATGTGAAAACCTCACGTCTTTGTTTTTATTCTCTTCAAATATTTTCCCAATTAATAAGATTAGATTTTAAAACTGTTCACTGCTACTTCTTTTATTTTTGTAATTAATTTTTAAAATAAGTGTAACACATTTTTAAGTAACAAATAACTATTTAGAGGCTACTGGTTGTATTCACTGTACTCTTTGCTTCCCTCAATGTTAGAAGCATTAAATATAAGATTTAAAGAAACATATAACAAATTTCTTTGTGGAAAATCATTATATTCTTTTCTAGAATTGTAGCAAACTAGTCATTAACATGATTTTTAGTGATTATTATCTTTAATTAAAAGCCTTTCTCTCTCTAAAGTCTCCTAAATTGGTTTAATTTTATTTCCTTTCTTATTAGGAATCACACATCAAAAGATGAAATTTGAAAATTGAAGATGTAAAAGAAAATACGAGTAAAAGAAAATGTAAATAATTGCTGACCTAACAAGATTAATCTTGTGGAATTTTTGTGTATGTCTCTGAGAATCAAGATGACTGCAAATGGTTCTGATTGTAAAGAACTGTTATCATTGAACACATTATTATTAGTTGAAAACTTTAACAGTTTAGTATTTTCTTTACTTTTTATAAGATTATTTTCTTTATTAGAGAAGTTGATGTATTTCTAATGCCTTCTCTTTTGCCTGTTAATTATTTAGAATCATTTTAGTTATCTGTTATCATAACTTAGCAGTCAAAAAATATTTTTAAAAAAGTAAAATTTGTTCCTATCTTTTAGGAACTTACTTTTTCATACTGAAAAATTACTATGGAAAAGGATTGGACACATATTTGAGAGTTAACATCAAAAGAGATCAGTCTTTTAATGATTTATTTTTGAATGGTCCATGATGAATGAAAATAGCATTAGATAGTTATATATCATCAGCATAAATGGTCAATGGAAAAACATGCATGATATCCAGTGGTTCTGCTTCAAAACATTTACTCTGGTATATCAAAGACTAGACAGAAATGTAATTAAAAAGACACAGGAACAACTATAAGGAAATATAGGTCTGTTACATTCCTACTTAAGTTAAGATAAATCACAAATTTATAATCTGTTAGAAAAACTAGGATTTATACTGAAAAACCCCAGAAAGGACACAAGTTAAGAAACAAATGGATGCATGGCATCTATGTAAAAGTCTTGAAGACTAGAACATGACTTGAATTTTTAAGTTAATGTTTTGGTTTTATAGCAGTGTTGAGCAAAACTATTGTTATGCTCCTGTGGAGGATTAGATTTCTTTTTGATTCACTCTACATGTTGGTTGGATATGAAAGCAAAACCACAAATAAAAAAATTTAAAAAATTGTCTTCTGTGTAGGACCTCTGAGCCTCCACAAAACAAATCCCCACAAAAATCTAAAACAAAATAGCCAATCATAAATGAATGCCACCCAAAAAGAGATGAACCTAGAAGCAACCAGAAAACCCTACAGGCCTCTCTTGTCACTATTATTGTGCCCCCGTTTTGTTGATCTCTCATCTAATCGGAATCAAACAGAGACATTCTGCTCAACAACACTTCACTATCCATTTCAGGCCTCCTTTATCACCACCACCACTGTAACCTTGGTCAAACAACCCACGATTGCACCTTACCAGGCCTTACCACAAATCAACTCACCACTGTGTCCTTGATCAATCAATCTGCCAACAACAAGAAGATCAGCTTCAAATTTTTAGCCTCATCATATGACTGCCAACCCATCAAACATCAATTTGTATCAATTTCAACCATGAAGAAAAAGTGTATGTAACCTCAGCCAATGATACCCAACTTGGTTTCACTAATCTACTCCAGGCCTCTCATCTGATACCAAAAATGACCTTGGTCATCCAACCCAACAAAATCTGTCAACTCTCAACACTACTGACAACACCTTTACACCTAATCACTTTCTTTACCAATGGCAATATGATCCATATTAGAAGACTAGAGCAACTTCTTGTAAATAAGAAGGAAACTCAATAGAGAATCATATATTTTTTGCCACTTTTCACACTACTAAATACATATTCTTCACACTTGGTCTATGTATGTTGTTGAAATTTTCATCTTTGTTAGTTCCTTGCAACAATATGCTCATTATAACACTACCCATGGCACAGATTTGTTGTAACTTATCCACACAACAAAGTATTTGAAGTGTTTAGTATTTACTAATTTCACATTTTGAATTTTTAAGGAATATTCAGGGTAGATGCCATCACTGTTTCCAATTCCAAATCATTGTTTTCTCTTTTGGAAAGGTTTATCTTGAGTCCTACTTATTGGAATACTTGGTATAGGTTGATGATTTTTTTTGTCAACATCATTATTGTCCCAGTTATGAATGCCTATGTAATCAGCATAGTCCTATCATCAGTACATTGGCCTTAGGAGGAGAAGAAGATTATAATTGACAGGAAAGCAGCAAAGCTAAAAGATTTCCACTCATAAGAAGTGCAAAAGAAGAAACTATTAGCATAGAACATTTAGCAATTTCAACCGTGAACTTATGAGACCAAACTTTTAAAATCATTTCACCAAAAGGAATGTAATAAAAGCCA